GAGAGAAGCTTGGGGTCAGAGCATATTTTCAAAGCAATATGGAATATTTTAATATTTTTTGTATAAACTCTTATATGAACCAGATAAACTCCTGAAATAGTCAATTATTATAAAGTTTAGAAAAAAAGGGATAACTCCAGCATTTCTTGAACACCTGTTTCCTTGAAGAAAGTGGCTTAGAAGCAAACCTGCTAGCGGCAATCTAAGTTTACCTTCTAGCATCTCTAACTGTGCTCCAGGCTCCATTTCTGTTGTGGGGGCTCTCTGTGCCTTTAGTTCTTTGTGCCTGCTTTCTTCATGCTCAGAAGCTGATCCTGAAGCACGTACAAGCAGCAAAGAACAAATAACACAAAATAAGATTGCACAAGATATCAATTTCTAATCTAGAAATGGTTCCATGTCAATATCAAAATTTAATTACAAAGCAAAACAGCCTCTGAAGGACAGAACATATTTTGGCCACATGCCAGGTGATCACTACTAAAGAGCTTCAAATCTCTACAGTCTTTTCACAGACCACCTCTCAAACTAATTACGTTTAATTACATAACATGATACTGACAGGTAAAAAGAACTACTGAATACTGTGTATGAAAGAAAAGAAGCTTTCAATGGTATGTTTATTACCATTTAAAGCATTAAATTGATTTTTTTGCCTTGATACTACTAAATGGCAGACCATAAACGAATGAATTGTCACACATTTTAGTATCTTCCAAATATACTTGTATATATTATTTAGTAAAACATGAATATTAAAAGATCACTCACAGATGAGCTAACCCATTGTTACATACACCGTTGTGACAACATGATCAAACAACATGAGTTGTGCAGTGTAACACAATCCTTCTGCAGGTAGACTCCATTTCAAGTCACAAAAGTAAATTTCATATATTTTCTTCTTTAATTATGCCTTCTTTGTAGCAGACATTCACACCAATTAAGGATGTGCTTGGATGCCCAGTTTGCTGCTCGTGATGAAAGTTAATTGTGCAATTACAAAAGATATTTTTATACCACACTCATTCAGTGTATTCAGTAACACTCACACCTGTGAATTTCAGCTGGTGTAGTTCGTCTTGCTCACACAAAAAACAAATCATACTGGTTTCTTCACTGTTTGACTTAACATAAACCAGGGCAGTCTTTACTGTCACAGAGAGAAGGTGAACTCACTCAGGGCTCAAGGCAAAACTGTTAAGGGAGTTACAGTACTCCACATTTTCTAACACAAGGGTACCTCTTAATACCTTATTTATTGGAACACCCTTATACTTCATAATATTAATGACACAAAGTAAAATGCTAACACAAATGTCCAGATAACATGAGAGACACTAAACAGCAACAAATGGTACTGGACACTATACTATTTTCTTTTTAATGCCTCTTAGTATATATTGGTTTCAGCAGCAAGATCACACATTTACAGTATTGAAGCATACTGTATAAGGAGCTGTCTTGACCAGATAAAATAAATGACACATACAGGGGAAGTATTCAAAGGAGTTATTGAGGTGTTTAATGTTAACGCCTCAATAGCCTGTGAAAATGGTACCTGCAGAATGCTGGGAAAGAACATCATCCACTAAGCTTGTGATTCTACCATCTGCTGTCAGCTGAGAGCCATGCTGAGACTGCCTCAGGGCACTGGGCTCAAACTTGGGAGTTACAACAGCATAGCGAAGCAGCTCTTCATATTCATCCTGTCAGACAGTCATATACAGAATAATGCAGCAAAATCACTCCCGATAACAAAGAAGCACCATTTTATTCAGTAAACTATCCACACTCCAGGTGGTGCTTTGCAGTTGCTTTTAGTAAAGATTTGTGATATTGCTTATCATTAAAACCACTGTTACTATACATTTTATACAACTATTCATAGATACTTTAATATGACACCAAACACTACATTTAATCATGTTAACCAAAGTAAACTTACTTACCTGCAATTCTGAAGAGACTGAACTTCCGCGATCTGAATCTTTAGGTAGAACTGGACTGTTTGGCTCAGCTTCATCAGAAGACATCTGCGAAAAAAATCTCTGATGAAGAGCAGATTCTGTATATAGATGTTTCTCAGTCTAATGCATTTACAGTGAGTTGCTTTAAGAATCATTATGAACATGTGATCATAAATCGCAGTATACTTTCATCTTAAAATATTAAACAGCACTGTAAGAAAAAAATTAGGAAGTGAATAACAGAATGCAAAAAAAAAGCTTTTCCTGCTTAATATTCTTTAACTATGATGGTAAGACATCAAATATCACTGCAGACGAGGGATGAAAGAAGCAATTTTAATGGAGATTCCCTGGACACTTTAAGTTTAATATCTTACTGTCTTATTTTCGGTAAACCAAACACACAACTTACAAAATTCAGAAATTTGGAATCCTAATGCGCCGGGCATCCAATAAAGACTGTTAACCATAAGGCCAAAACATGCATTTAAGTTGCACCTTTCATTCTGAAATAAGACGCTAAAGCGTTATTTCTCCTCCTGGTAAAATACAGTAAATTATTTCCATTTATTGTATCTTCCGATCTTGTATTTCTGATAACTACATTCTGTTTGAAACCCATAGTTCTGTGACTGAGAAAGCCACAATAAATCATAACAATATTCGTTAAATCTGGTACATAAATTGCATTTAAAAGGAGGTCCTAACTCATGTCAAAAAACTATCCTTAGAAGTTCTTGCGATGCAACAACAAATATTTCTGCAAAATAAAAAAAAAATCCAGCTCACAATACAAGATATTTTTGTCTGCCAGCGATTAATGTACTTTAGTAACGAAACTAGAGCAAAAAGGAGAAATTTTGGAGCATGATGCTATCTCAGCAAATAAAACTTAATGACATAGCTTAATTAATCAGAAAGTTCTCTAACCAAATCAACCTTTTAAAGGTTTCGACGTTTAGATGCCCTTATTATAATTACCTTAAACTCTTGTAGTATGTAACTATGTGTGACAGCTTATCTGTTTCCACTTTAAAACTTTTCGCTTATTTTCCTGACAGTTTCAAACTGACAAGCACATTAATAATATAAAATCCGATTGGCTACTTCAGCCTGTAGTTAGAATAGACGGAGTTTTCTGATTGGATACAGATCGACCATGGTATCCGTGGCAACTCCATGGCAGGAAGAGACGCCAAAGCTCCTCCCTTTGAGCCGCGGCATTGCGGTTGTCTTCGAGCCTGTAGCCAGACAGGAGCTGGTGCTGCTGTAGTCGTTGGCTGTGTAACATTAATGTAGAGGAAATAATAATAAAACTCGAAATAAACGGAAAAGACCAAGGAGTATTGACGAATACACAACAGTTATAAAGTTATTGTGCATCAAGTAAGAGCTATGATTTCAATAAACGAGAATAAAAATAATTTTGGAAAAATATCTAAATATAATGGTAAAAGTATTATAATTAATAAATTAAAACAATTTTGGATTGTGAATGCAAGACTGTCTTCATAACAAGTCTATGTTTCTGTGTCCTTATAAATGCTTATACTGTATTCCAGCCTTGCAGTTCTGGACCTGCAGTGCTATCCTTGTGTAGTTTGTATGTTCTCCCAGTGTTCACATGGGTTTTATCCCAGTGTTTCGGTTTCCTCTTACAGTCCAAAGAAATGCTGGCAGGATAATTGGCTTATGGGAAAACTGGTCCTGGAGTAAGTGTATCCATGCTTGTGTCTGTGTCTGCCCTGCAATGGACTGCCATCCCTTAAGGGGTGTATTGCCTCCTAGGATAGGTTGCAGCTCTCCTGTGACCCTGTGTTGGATAAAGTGGTCTGAAAATGGAAACGATGAATGGAAAAAATACACATTGCTTAATATCAGCAATGATAGGTGGTTACTGCTATAGGCTACTCCGAAAGAGTTAATACACTAGCATCGATTTATTACTCTTCAGGCAATAGGTACAGGAGGAGTCCCAAAGGTTAGGACCTCAGTTATTTGGTTAATGGAATTACCCACAATTGACGTAAACTCACAGTGACAGGGCCAGGTTGCAGAATTCAGAAGACAGAGTTTGATGCTGTCAAGCTGCAGCCAGGAAGACTAGTCCTTGAAAACAAAGCCCAGACTTAAAGAGCAGGGGGCATTTTTAAAGGTCTTTGCTCTGTGAGTGCACAAAACCCTGACCCAAAATGATCATCGGCATGATATACTTCAGCTGTATTTCAGTACTGAAATATGGCATGTCTGCACAAAGCACAACATTTATTATGTAAAAAGGAATACTTATAATACTTATATTGCCCTTTGAAATGTTCTGTTCCATCAAGATTTCAGAGTCACACAGAGGCTTTCTGAGACTCACAGCATTCCTCCTCAGACATCAGAGAATTCAGCTTTCCTGAAAAAAAAAAGTCCAGGCCTCCTGGTACAGGAGAAATCAACACTTTTTTTAAAATATATGTTTTTGAAAATAGGTTCCTGCATTAAAATGGGGTATTATATTGCCAAAGACATCATAATTCCTTGATAAATATTACCTTTAATTGCAAAGGAAATAAAAAATATCTGCAAGCTGTTGCTATGGAAATGTTTCCATTTTTCTTCACCACCTCATTTTATTCAAATCGAAGCAGCAAAGGATAGAATAAGATGCAGGTAACACATTGTAGCACAAAATTGTATTTTTAAAAGTTTTTGTTTAGATACCCAAATTAGAACTGTGTTCAAGTATGGTAGAAGCAGTGTTAATCATGATTTTAATAGTAAAGTAAAAGGGTTAGAGATGTCTTGTGAGGGAGGGGGTATTAATTAAGTCTGTGTGTAGCTCTACTTATTTTATTATTGCATTCTCCTTCTCTTGGATTGATTCAAGCCAAACATTTTGAAATAATAATAATAATAAATCGTTAAGTCTTTTGGGGTGAAACTGCTTTGTGTCCTGGGACAGTAGAAACTGTGGGATGCCAGACTAAAGTTATTAGGTTATAGAATTAAGACACAATGAAGCAGTCACAGGAGCTCTAGACTCTTTTATACTCAGTCATTACTCAGACTCCTTGAGATGCTTTGCTAATGTTAAACATAAGTAAGAAGATATAATGTCCAAGCACAAAAAAGTTCTACATGACAAGTAAAACTTTAACAAAACAATTTTTAGTGGAAGAAAGGATAGACTTCTATCCAAGGTATAGTGTTGAGTCACCACTGTGTGGTGACCACCACTAAACTAGTCGTGGAGCTCAAGGCTAGAGACTGCCAATGTCTCCATCTGGATGATATCTCTCCAATTAGGGCTGGTGCCAGATGAACTTCTGGGGATGTCAGTTTTTATTGTCCAGTTATTAACTGTTAACTTTAAACAAGAGGAATCCCTATTAACTCTAAGGGACCATATTTAAATTCACTTTGGGCAAAACAACAATCTATCATTATTTGGGTTTGCCTCAAGTAAACATTCACTAAGATCTAAAAAACATGTGGAGTGGACAAATCTTTTTTCCATCATGTTGCCTGATATTGTCCAATCAAATGTTGTCAAATGTTTAGAAGCTAAGTAGAGAGGGAGCTGATCAGTACTAGTTTGGAGATCTTCATAAATAAATAAATAAATAAATAAATAAATAAATAAATAAATCAAGCTGCTGCTGCAACCAGTGTTTGTCTACCATTAGGTGTCACTTTTCACTGTGAGCTAGAATCTCCAATAGATAAGATGTTGATTGAGGAATAAGGCTGTTAACGTTGGTGTTTTAGCTAAATCCCACTTTTGGCTTGCTCAGAGTTGCATACCTAAATTTCCCCCTTAATCAACAGGATAAGTTATCTTACTTTTCCTCCTGATTTGTTATGTAGTGGGGCTGCTGACACAATGTAAGAACATGATGACACAAATCTTGGAAAGTTTTGCTATTGATTACATGGTCTATTCAAGTCAGGTAAACCTGTGTAAATGATCAATACCTGTAGTATTCTCTATTACATTCACAAAAGCATGGGAATGACCTGGCCTAGGCTGGTGGAGACATTGCACACATTTTCCACAACTATATGACAAGATCTTATAACAACGTACTCCATTAGTCAGTTAACATTGCACAGGCAATAATCCATCCATCTTCTAACTGCTTCATCCAATACAGGAGAGCTGTAGCCTCTCCCAGCAAGTAAAAGGTGCAAAGCAAGGAACACCCTGGACAGGACACCAGCCCATCGCAGGGCATATACATACAGTATGTAGTTCAGGTGGGTAGCTGCATCAGCATGTGTAGGCTGCAAAGGAACAAGTAATAGGTTTATTCCATGCTGAAAAAAAGAAGAAAGAGAACACAACGTTTTGGCCGTGGAGCCTTCTTCAGGTGTGTACATATGTAGCGGAGCTAGTGTGGTGACGTCAGCGCCCTCACTGGGCGTAGCAGGGTCCTCAGCTGCCTGGGCTGAGGGAGGTCTCCTTTAGCTCACCCGGTTGGTGCCCTGTTGCGTTACGCCGGAGACCCGGGTTTGTGCCCCAGGTGTGGGGGACGGAAGGGGTGGCGGAGGGCACGACCCCGCACGGAACTGTGACTGTCACACATACAAGCACACAACTCACACCAAATTTCCCAAAAGCCAATAAACCAAATGATCATAGAGAGAACATACAGTACAAACTACGCACATTGCTATGAGGCAGCAATGCTAACCACTGTGTCACCATACCAGCCACAGGAAATAATCTGGGGCGAAAACATATGGTTATATTTCTAAGGTTTTTGTGCCCATCGCCTTCATTGTTTACCCTAGTTTAAGCCTTGTTAGTACTGGAAATGCAAAAAGCTGATTGCGAAGTCACACTTATGGATGTTGGTTCTGACAGAGCAGTATTGTGCAGATTGTTGTGAGTCAAGTATTGATGAGTAATGAGTATGCCTTCCACTTCAAAAGACAAAGCGATCTGACAGTTAGTCAGTTAGTCAGAGTCAGCATACTGTTGTGACATATTGAATAGGTTTTGTGTAGATTATACTATTTTCCCCCTCTGCCTTAACTTTATTTTAGTGTGGAAACATTTATCTTTATGCCATTGTTTTGTGTAATGAATACTGTAAACCACAAATAAATCCTGTGGTTTTGACTTGAAAAGCAATATTGTATATGCAGGAATATCATCTCAGATATTGCAATGCCTTAGAAAATATAATGTCAGTGATAATGTTCTACCTCAATTTCTATGTACTAGAATTAAAAAGGTATTGTTCTGAAATACATCAACATAATAAGAATCAAGTCAATTTTGCAGAGAGGAGTCAATTAATCACTGAATCAATGTCTATTTTACACATCTTGGTTTTAAGAGGGTAGCAGCATCTCATCTCATATCAACACTTTGTGCTGCCATGTCATACACTACAGAGAACAGAAAAAAGAGAGCTAAATTTTTTTATACAAAATATGATTAAATAATGAATTATTAGTTAATTAAATAATTAACAGTTCTTCTATATGACTTACTGTATAATGAAGCTTACTGAGGAATTAACCTTGTCTATGGTCATAAAAAAGTGAGAAAACATAGACATATGGCAAGTAACAAGTGATACAGGACATTGATAAATTATTTATCAAAAAGTTAATTAATACTGTGGCATTTAAACAAAGCTTAGAAACTAACTGCAGCCTACAAATGCTCATATAACTATTAAATATTTTTTTTCCCCTGGATCCTCAATTCTTGGTGCTAACCCTTAAGAACTACACACTTAATTCTCAAATTAATCTGTGAAAGTGATATTACAAACCTTAACTTGTATCAAATAATCAAACAATTCCAACAACATATGGATTACATTGTGCATTTATATTTTATGTTTCAAACCAGTACGTTATGCACTATGCTCAATACCCCAGTTAGTGGATTAATGGATGGTTAATGTCATCACAAGCCTCTCAATGCAGATTTGTATTTTTAGAAAGGCATACTCTACCCTAAACCATTTTAGAATCCTTCAGCACCGAAGAGAATGTTTTGTTGATTCATCTTAATATTGTTAAACATGCCCATGTGAAAACATCAGATAGGTTTATTCTTGGATGTAAACAAACTTGTACAATAGCTGAGCATCATTCTCAGGTTCCGTTT